TTCTGTAAATTTTATTCAATTTATTATCCCACATAAAAGACCAGACAATATAATTTATCTCTTTCGCATATATATCCGGTATTCCCCTCATTTCGATTTCATAGCCAATAATCAGAATTATTATTTTTATTATCAAAGTTTCCCCTCTGAATGTAAGGTTCCTAAGTTTCCAGACATGCAAGCTGTTCTTATTTTTTTCCTATTTTTTCCAACCATATTGCAGTAGTATCAATACTATATCCATGATATACCCCAAAAGTTTTTATATTAGTTTTTATCCACTGTGTCTTTTTTAAATTTTGGTGTTTTACCTTTTGATTTGCCAATAAACAGCTCTTTGTTTTGAGAAATTGATTTTTGCCCCTGAGGCTTTTTCATATATTTCTAACACATTGAATGAATTTATTATAGATTCTTCGGCCTTATTAAATAACTGTGTATCGTCTGCGAACATATTTATTTTACATTCTTTGTGTTGATCTTTATTAGGAATTAAAATGCCCTTTATCTGCAGATTTTGTCTAAATGCACAGGCCATAGGCTCTATTTGAAAAACATAAAGCAATGGAGCAATAGGGCAACCTTGTCTTGCCGATCTTGAGATTGAAAAGTATTTTGATAGAAATCCATTAGTTTTAATGCATGTTTTTGATTTAATAAATATCATTTTTATCAAATCGCCATCTTTTTTACCAAAGTTAAATGTTTTTAATGTTGCTTCTATCCAGCCCCATTCAATTCTATCAAACGCTTTTTGATGATCTAGAAATATAATTGCCCCTTCTAAATCTTCATTACCTGAATAATCAATGATATCTTGAATCAGTCTATTTGCATCACCGATATTTCTACGCTTAACAAATCCTTTTTGGTCTTGATGAATTAAATTTGGTAGTACTTTTTTTAATCTCTCGGCGAGTATTTTAGCAACAATTTTATAATCATTGTTAAGCATTGTTAAAGGTCTCCAATTTTTATATCTTCTCTTTCATTCCTTTTATGTATTAATGAAATATTGTTTGTGAGTCACAGAGTGTGGCCCTATGAAAAATGTGTTTTTGAACTTTTGAAAATTAATTTTTAATTATATCCCAGTATATCTGATAAAAAGTTGATAAAACCCCATCTTCACTGGGAGATTTATTTGGCTTTAATGGCATCACTGCTTGATATATTTCTTTATAATTTATATCACTATCGAGCATGATTACATCGTAATCGTCTAATTTACATTGTACTTCCGCTAATAAAAATTCACCACTTTCACTATCCTATCCTTCCGTATTCAATAATTTGTAATAAAAATTAATTTGCTCTTCGATGATTGAATCAATGTAAGTTTTATACGTACCATTATCTGTTTTTATTCTATTCCACATTTTTTTCTCCCCATTACTCTTTTATAATTGAAAGAGTTATTTCGAAGGAGCTTCTCCTTCTTTAAACCATCTACATTTTGATGTATTATTGCCGCTTCTGTCTTATCTATATAAATTTCTTTTATTTTCTGCTCAAGGTCATTTTGATACTTTTTATTAGTATTAGGAATGCTTTTAATCTCTTCTTATTCTTTTTCAAATTCCTCTAGTTTTTGTTCATTAACGTTTAATTTTGTTGACATCTCAATACACAATGTTTTTATCTTATATTTAGTTAAGTCCCACCAGTATAGAATATCTTGACAATTATTTAAGCTTTTCTTGTAGTTTTTCCAGAATTCAACAAATGTTTTTCGGAAATCTTCGTTTGTTAATGTTTTATTATTCATTACCCATAACCCTGGACCTCTTTGGATGTTATCTAATTGTAGTTTTAATATTATCAAATCGTGATCGCTAAATGGGAAATGGACAATTGCATAATTGTTTATTTTGTGTAGTATATTTTCACGTGTAAGGAAAAAATGAAATGAAATGTGTAACATCGTTTTTCTGGGTTTCATTCTCGCCAAATATCCTGCAATTCACATAGTTTAGTTAATTCATAAAGTTCTGATAGCGCAATATTTTTTCGGAAGCGCACGAGATGCCTATCAAGCTGTTTGTTTTGGGTGCAATTAAAGTCACCGCATATAATTCTATGATGAACTGTTTCGTCAAATTTCAGTGAGTTAAAATACTGTTTTCTATCCGTTATTCGGCGTGTAGATACACTTAAGATCTACTGTAAAGTCATCATTTTTTTATGCTAACAGTGATGTCCCTTCCTTCTGTCAGAAAAAATTTTTGTGATTTTTAAATTCGGGCTTTTTGATCATGAATAACATCCCCCACATCCCGTGATTCGCTAGACCAATTATATCAAATAGAATTTGGCCCTTTAAATGTTTTCCATTTCACTTTTGTGTTTTTTATCTGTCCTATGTGTTTCTTGTAAACAAATTATATCGTATTTGCGTTTATTCAACCATGAAAAATACACATTTTTTTTCTTATCTCGTAGCCGGTTAACATTAATTGAAGCTATATGTAGAGTCATTTTAAGCGATAATACTATCTAAAAAAAAATACCACGAAATACGAATGAAAAAATATAATATGTACAATATATATACAAGTAGTAATTATGTACATAGTGACCAATCTATCTAACAAAAGTCATATTGATCAGCTCAGTTACTTAGAGTTTACATTTTTTGTATTTTACCCTGCTTTTCGGTCGAAGCTGGGGTATTTGAACTTAACTTCCGTTTTGTAATGCTTGGGGTTCGAGGAGGACCGTTTTTGAAACAATTGTAATTACAGAAAATGTCGGCAATTTTCTTTGATCCTTCGCTACCGACATGCACACCGCTGGGGTCATTGCTGTCATACAGTGCTCTAGTATCAAGCACTTGGTCATTTATGAATGAGCTGCACAAGTCAATCACTGATAGTAATTTATTTTTTTTTTTCACACAATTTTTCAAGGAATTTATTCACATGCCAAGTGTTGTCGTTCATTTTTTTTAATTGCGGCGTTTTTCCTTTCCTGGGTATGGCTGTGCATACTGCAATTCGAGTCTCGGGGAAAGTTTCTTGAATCTTGTTAAGACCCATCATAACACTGCTGGTTAAATCCCCGATTTCGTCTTCGTATCTGCTAACATAATTTGTTCGTAAATGAACGATTACACTTTCAGGTGCAGTTTCATCCATTTTTTTCTTAGCGTATTCCAGTAATTGTGACAAGTATTCGTAGGATAACCCAGAGACCGAGGCGTTTAAGATATTTGGCGGAAGCGTTTGAATGCGCTTGCAGTTCGACGCCACCAGAATAACGGTATTGATCTGATCGTCATGCGTGTCCGCTTCCGTACTGTCAGTTTCGCTTCGTTGGTCATCGTCGTTTAAAGCCTCTCTGCCTTCATTGATATCTGCGGCATATTTACCATACTTTTTTACCATTTTTTTCTGAAAGTAAATCGCAATTGTCCTTGCTTTGGCCCTCTTCTTTACAATATCTACACACAGGTTCGTTTTCACAGTCTTTGGCCAAATGGCCTTGTTTGTTACAATTAAAGCAAATTGTTTTGTTTGTGGGTTTGTATAGGCATTTGTACGAGGGTTGATAAGATTTTCCGCAATATGGGCATTGCGTGCGATTATTATCCGCAAAGATTCTGACCTCGTGATCTCCTAATTTTGTTCTGTTTGGTAGAGCAGTTTAATATTTGCAAGTAACGTGTGCCGTTTTCAATTGATGTATTTTTAATAGTGCCATGTTTGATGTTGCCTGCTGCTACCTGACAATATTGCATCATATTTGTAGTTATGAAGTGTCTGGTAGTTCAATAGGGGCATCTTGTCACATTCGTTATTTGTCTGTCAACCTAGACATATAATGAAACTTGTCGATTTTACCGTTACACCGGACATTAATAGTTTTTCCTTTGTTTGTTAACTTTTTAGAGTAATAAAACACTCATTTTCTGTAATCTGAATTGGTTTTATATCATCAATGTCAGTCTTTTCTTTTACCTCGTTTAGTACATCTTCATGAGTTATACCCTTGTAGAATTTTGTCGAAAAGTGTATCGACAGATTTCTTGTTACATTCTGCATATTGAGTAGGGCTGAATAGTGTTCAGTTGGATTTACTACTTGCTGTCGTTTTGATTTTCAATGTTCAAGATATAATTTGATACTCACAGTTCGTTGCCTTTAGTTGCGGCATACAAACCACAATACTAATCACACAATTTAAACAGCATACAGCGCTCCAGAATAGGATAAATAAGCAAATAAATTTAATATACTCGGAGCGACCAGAAAAACCTGCCGTCAATGACAAGGGCCATAACTCTCTTTATTTGATAAATTTAATGAATGCATTTCTTACATTCCTCATAACCATCCCGTGTCTGTACACATATTGTCAACTGTTTTATATTAAGCACATTGTTATCTTTAACAACGAATCATATTTAATTTTAAACTAATTTTAAAAACTCAATAAGGATACAGAGCCTTATTATTTACAGATGGAAAATATGGAGATAACCAACAGTATTCGAGCTTTAAAATTCACTAAACAATACAAAATAGAAGAAGAGCAAACAGTTTATCTAATACGTAGATATCTCTACTCCTCTACGGTATTTATATCATCGAATGGTATTCGGAAAGAAATGCCAACTGTACTTGAAATGTGTATTTGTAATTAGAAACTAATTATACTTATATTATAACGTATATGATTTTTTTGGGAGGAATAAACAAGATTTATTTTCTGGAAACAAGGTTAAATGAATTTAGCAAAAAACTTCTACATGCACGAATATTTTTATTTTCCTCGAAAGGTTTTCGGATGTCAACATCTTCCTTGAAAATGTTTTGTTTAATGTACCTAGCATTCAAGCACGAAAGAACCATGAAAATAATTGCATAATCAAACAATAAGCACTATCAACATGATCAATACACATTAAAAAAATCATAAAGAATAGAAGAAATAACTTACATTTTTTTATGTTTCAGATACACGCATGTTTTTCTCTGACTCTTTTAAATTATTTTGTGATGGACCACGTCCCTCGCTTGTCAGAGGCTGTGTATGTGGGACTGTGTTATAAATTAGGGAGTCCTACAGAAGTGAGGATCAGAAGAGAATTGATGGACACTGATGAGGTGGTAGGACAACCTGTGGACATCATGAGGGGATTAGATAGAATGAGAAGTGGGAGTAGACGTGAGGGATGCAGATTGAGGACTTCAGATGATGATTGGATGTTCTGGCCTCCGGACCACAAGGTGATATGTGATCTCTCTCAGATCAGTCTATACCGTATTTCACAGCACGCTGTGATTCTAATGAAGTGTAATGATCTACCACCGGGATTTACCAGACTAAACATGATTAGTCAATCAAATAATTCAGAGGTCATTTCCTCTTGCGTAGTAATAAACAACAAAACATACATTTCAAGTACATTATTCAGAGATAACTATTTGCGTTTCGTTAGGTCCTGCAATGTTCCTTTGACCAATGCTTTCCCTCATGGACCTTGTTCTACATATTCCATGTTCCAAGAAGCAGATACTGATTTTGCGTTCTGTATCCAATCACATCACTGGCCAAAGTTAGCACTACCGTGGATAGAGAGATGTTGTGAACGGGGCTGGCCAGATCAGAATATTGTAGATGGTATATTGAGTGGAGGATTTCATGTTGTCCCTATTGGAAGCACATCTGAGAATGAACTCGAATGGAGAATCTCTTTCTCACAAGCAAAACAAAAAGTCTTTTATTCAATGAATCATTGTCAGTTTTTGTGCTATGGTCTTTTCAAAATTTTTCTGAAAGAAGTTATTAATGGCCAGACCAATACAGCCATTCTCTGCTCATACTTCATAAAAACTATTATATTTTGGGTCATACAGAAAAATGCATCCTCGTATTGGACACCAGATAACCTATTGTCTTGTTTCTGGAAAAGCTTTAAATTATTGATATTCATGGTGCTTACTGGAAATTGTCCAAACTTTTTTATTCCACACAACAACATGTTTAGAGTGAAAGTCACTGGTTCTGTACAATATTTGTTGCTAAATCAGTTGTATTATTTGTACAATATGGGGATATCATGTCTACTATTAAGTGAAACAATCCGACCATTCTTCAGCCTTGCTTTATTTAACAGGACATTGAGAGTCGGTACTGAAGAGAGCAGTATTATATCAAGAACTGATTTAGATATGTCTTTATTTGGTGAATTATTGATATTTCATCACACTCTTCAGAGTGCTGAGGAATTAGCAATTTACATCAAACAAATAGAGAGAATGATTAGGGGAGTATTGACATCGTATCAGACACTCATGTTACAATATATGACTTCGTGTGTGTTAAGAAATACTGCAATGTTTTTACAGAGTTGTGTGTATTTAAATGAAAATGGGAATAAGTTTTGTTATAAAGCAAAAGTAACTGCTTTACTAAAGCAGTCCTGTAAGTTTGGATATTTATCTGACACTCTGTATCTTTCTATGTACTTCTACAGAACACGTAGATATGAAGACTCACTCAGTTGTTTACATAAAGCACAGGACAGATTCTCATTGCCGTATATAATGTATATGGATCATGTTAATGTAGATATGTACAAACACTACATGGAAAGGAATACCCTAGGTACTAAGATGAGGAGAGCTGTTGTTAGAAATATTGATATTTATTGTGACTACAGTTACATTGACGAACTTTTATTTAGAGCAGGAGATTAGTAAAAAGAATAACAGGCTGGCATTACACATCCCACCTTTAGTGATGATGCGCATGCTGTTTATACTTAATTACCTCAGACTTGGTGACACAGTTACGTCACACCAATCTCTATGTGATTTACAGACTCTGCTCTGCAATGATGATGGGACCTGTGTACCTCTTTTTCTCAGAGATATTTCGTGGCAAATTCTGGGAATCTGTCATCAAATTCTCGGGAATGATTTAGAATCCCTACAATGTTATCAATATTCCTTACAACAAGAAGCATTTCATAAACTTCAGAAAGCAACATTAATAAGAATAAACAGTCTCCCAAATTAAGCCCTCGAACGTTTTTTTTGAATATGTGAATTTGTTAACACATCCGTTTGATTTATTGTATGACATTTGCATTTATATTTTATATTTTGTATATTTTGTTTTAATTAATATTAATATATGTGAGGTCTCGAAATTTTACTAGGAAGGTTATACATATTCCTTTTAGATAGCTGACAAATAATAATAAATAATGTTTTTATTTGTTCTTATAAAAATATTAAAAAAACCAATATGATACAAGTATCATCATTAACATTTTTCTGTAAGAAAAATTATTCTCATCATGAATGTTGGTTTTTATATCAAACACTTAATTGTTGATTAAGGACATGATTTTGATTTCTCGTCCGTATAAAATGTACACAGTTTTTAAAGTCATTATTTGAATATATGTATATTTTAACTGTTATGCTTAATAAAAGTAGTAATGAATTCATTATCATTGTGCTGAAGAAGTTACCCCCATTTTTTGTCAAATTTAGATGTAAACAGAGTTTTCACAAGGTCTCATGTTCAAATTTCATTGTGATCTTGCTGAAATAAGAATTATTTACAGAGCATAACGTTCATTTCTTTTATATGACTGTCAAACTACATCTTGTTCTATTATACATTTCACGCAGCATCTGTTATATAAAAAATTAAAATTAAACTGCCAATACATTTTTAATTCCTTAGATTATATTAATTTATAAATTTTTTCCATTTTATAGATTATAAAGGAACTATTTATTGATTATAAAAAAGAAATTTAAATGACCGTCAATATATGTATTTGCAGACCATGTCGGTAGGTTGAGTTCCGTATTACATCAATAAGACATAAGTCAATTATCAGGTTTGACCAATGTTTTAATAAAGCGTAATACTATAAGAAAAAACCTGTAATAAAGACATTATAATTAATGAACATTTGCAAACCCTTACTGACTTTACTTTTAATTACAAATAAAATAAGAAATAGATAAATGATCAATATATATTTGCCAGGCACACTACATGTATATAAATCAGCTACCGTATGATAGAAAGTTATGACTATTCCCGTCAAGGGTGTAGCGCCGAGTGTGCATAAAAATCATTAGCAGCGGAAAGTTAGTGAAAAGTAATTAGTAGCAACTGGTCATACCGGAAATGGTCAAAAATGTCACACCTAACAAACATAAACACTCACACGTGGACATCCACACATAACAACACAAACGCAAACACATATAATAGAAATAATTATAAACCTTGAAACTGAAACATCTCATTGCTTACACTGGTTACATATTCCACCTTTTTAATAAGTGAAGGATATGGAGATAACGAACAGTATTCAATCTCAACGTCCATTAAACAATATACAAAATAAGAGCAGAGCAAACACGGACTTGATTGATTGATTGTATATTGTTTAACATACCTCCCGAGAATTTTTCACTCACATGGAGACGCAACAACTTGCGGATGGAGAGCTGCAAATTTTGTCCTATACTAGGCACTCAGGCCATTGAGCAAGGAGGAAACTTTTTCATGCAAGCACCTTCTGCTATACGGGGCCTCGGTTTACTAGGTCTAATTCGAAGGATCGGTCACCACGTTCCAGTGTGGATTGAGATACTCTTCTCTTGTTAAAATCACTTTCAAAAGAAAAAAATGTACTTCAGTGACTTTTTCAATAACTATCCCGCTATGAATCTAAAATTGATTACTTTTAACTTTTAAAGTTGGCGTCTTGAAAAAAATATCTTGTGACTATATACGCGATGATCAACTTCTTCTCTCGTCAACCTCCCTTATTCATGTAGTATTATATAATTATCATCTGCCTAAGGATCCCATCTTTCCTAAAAAAAATTATATTTTCTAAGTACGCATTATCTTCCTTTATTAGAGAATAAATATCTTTATCTGCCATTGTATGCATAACTGATATAACAAGACTTGTTAAAGAAATGCAAAGATAATGTAGTTTAAGAATTAAAAAAAAAAAATGTCAAGCGTTCATTTGTGTTTTGATGGTAAAGTTTTCACGAAATAAAACACTTTCTTACAGTAATATCCTTAAATTACAACTTATATAGATGTTATCATTTTTGTTTTTCAAAACAGCAGAAAATTTTCATTAAGCTACTATGTTTTTATGTAGAGTACTCAACAAACTAGACAAATAGAACGTAGTTCTGGATGTAACTCGGAAATTTCTGTGATACTAGAACTTTGAAGCACGCTTATTGAACAAAATTAAAAGAAAACTTAACTCAGTTTCTACTTGTGAGATTGATTTATAGAAGATATCTGCTATTTTTCGTTTCTGATTTGAATACCGGTAAGTATAGCGACATTTAATTATTTCGAATACAAATTTGAAATACGATTATCATACTCTGCAAGGCACGATAATTCCTTATCTGAAATTACATTATTAATTTGAAAATTCTACAAATATTTCTATTCAAGCGTAAATAAAAGATTTAAATGACCCAACGTTTTCTTTTTCTGGGTCTTCTGAGTCTAATATTAATAACGTTCTCTCGATTTAAAGGTAATGGTATCTTCATTATTAGACATCAATATTATCCTGTACCTAACAACAGTGATTTGTCATTGATTTCCAAAACCAGAGTACCTGTAATAGCTTGCATGATACAGAAGTTAAATTAAAGGTGAGGTCTTTTTTTCTTTTACAATTGGCATTTTGTCGGGCCATTTAGGAAACAAGGTAACGAATGTTGGTATTTTATAACATGTGAAAAGATTTTAATTTACAAATGTACAGACACAAAGATATGTGTTTTCACAACCTCAGGGAATGAATCCCTCAGAAGCATTTCTTACCATTCTACCTTTCCCTCAATATATTTTTCTCACCTTAATTAGCCCATGCCGTAAGAATATCTTTTAAAATAAGCGCACTAGATCGTAAAATCGTTTTCAATTTTAGAGTCAATGTGGTTGATATTTTACTATAGAATACCTGAAGCTTACGGGATGCTATTTTGGAATAATTTTGACTTAAGTCTATTAAAATACATATGTATATTAAAGATTATGCATCACAGCAATGTGTTTTTACATGTCACAAAGCCCTCTTCAGATGAATTTGATTTACTGAGACTTTGAAGATGCCGAAAAAGTAAACACTTTAAAGCGCCACTCCATGTAACAATATTCAAAGTCAATCTTCCCTTTTCCATTATTAAAGAAAGACACATTATAACAAAGAATTAGTATAAAGATATTTGTCTTTCAGATATCTACTATTTCATTCCTTCATATTTTTTTGAGAATGAATCACATACCCCGATTATCAGAAGCTGTATATGAAGGACTGTGTCGTAAAGAAGGGAGTCCTACCCAAGTGAGGATCAGAAGAGAAGTAATGGAGACTGAGGAGGCGGTTAGTAAACCTGTGGCAATAATGAGGGAATTCAATAAAATGGAAAGTGGAAGTACACGTGAGGGATTCAGGTTAAAGACTTCCGATTACGACTGGATGTTATGGCCTCCAGACTACAAGGTGATATGTGACTCTCTCAAATAAGTCTCTATCGTACCCGACAATATACAATGATTCTGATGGAATGTGATGATCGTCCACCTGGATTTACCAAACATAATCTCATAAGTCAATCAAAGGATGCTGAGACCATTTTCTCATGTGTAGTAATAAACAAAAGTGTATATATTTCAAGTACATTATTCAGAGATAATCATTCGCATTTCGTAAAAAACTTCAATGTTCCCATCACTAATTGTGTACCTCATGGTCCCTGTTCTACCTTTTTCTTATTCCAAGATGCAACGGCGGACTATGTGTTCTGTTTCAAGTCACATCACTGGCCTACGTCAGCATTTCCATGGATACAGAGATGTCGTGAACACGGCTGGCCAGATCAGAGTGTTGTATCAGAAATATTAAGGGGAGGATTTCATGTTGTTTCTATTGGAAGCACACCTGAAGACGAACTCGAATGGAGAATCTCATTCTCTCGAGCTGAACAAAAACTCGTTTATTCACTGAATCACTGTCAGTTTTTATGCTATGCACTTTTCAAATTTTTCCTGAAAGAAGTAATTGATAATCAGACAAATACACCTATTCTCTGCTCATACTTCATTAAAACTACTGTATTCTGGGCCATACAGACCAATACGTCTTTGTATTGGACACCTGATAACTTACTGGCTTGTTTCTGGGAAAGCTTTAAATTATTGATATACATGGTATATACTGGGAATTGTCCAAACTTTTTTATACTACAAAACAACATGTTTAGAGTGAAAGTCAAACCTTGGTTTTACATGAATTTAGCTTAGTGATAAATCCTTTCAAAATCCTATATATAATTCTGATGTCATTAGAGAACAGACAGGAAATAAGATTGATTAGGCCATCAATAGAGCTTATTTTAATAAAAAGAATTCGACAAACAAAGCATGCTGTATTGCCAATGTTTCTTTAGAGCATAATCTACTTATTCAGCAAATCAAATTCTTGCATGTCAAGCGAAGAATTAATTTTTCATGTTAAAGAATTCTTATATTTTTGAAATATTTAACAGTATTTGATTTGTTCATTTGACAGTTACAAATATGGACGTGTCTTTATAGGTTTTTGTTTATCACACAAAAAGCATTCCAAAATAACGTGCTGTTTACAAGTTATGGTAAGATCATATTTAGAACATAACCTACTTATTCAGTCAATCAAATCATCAAAATGATGTTCAAATTTTTGCTGAACATTAAAATTGCCTTAGTTAGGAATTGTAAAATAAAAAATTAGTAAATTTAATAGCTTTTATAACGAGGACAGTGTTTTATGTTGTCATGCAGATATGGAAGGTTCTGTGATTAAAAATGCATGTAAATTATGCCTTGTTTATTTATTTTGTTTGTCTGGCCTATACTTTTATTTCTCGCATTTTGGTAAATCCAGGTCAATATTTTGATGAAAAAAAACATAACTTGTTCTCTCGATGGCATACAATAGCGACATTTTAAAAACATAAATATTATCAGAGGACAAATAAAGCACTACAAGATACGATTTCTCTAATGTTAAAAATATTTAACACTTTAGTTTTCCCTTTTTAAAATATATCTTTATATATATCTCTATTTAAACTTAAAAACCTAACTGAAATGGTCCGAGGTGTTTATTTTGACATTGAATGAAAATTAAATCACACCCACCTAGTAACAGGTAATGTGATCTATGTTATAAGACGTCGATACTTCTAAAAAAAATATCGACATTGATGAGTCATTGATTGCTAGAAATAGAGAACAGGTAAAGACGTTCATAATACAAACCGAAAGTTTTATCAAGTGAGGATTTTCTGAATGAATGTAAAGTTTAGTCATTTTCAAAAGAAACAGGTACGTAATATTTTAATATTTTATACTTTATATTTGTTACGCTATGAAACTTAAAACTGAGAAGCAATATATTTTTGGATAATTTTAATTTTTGTATTTCTTACACTTCTTATAACTCTTGACAATCTACGAGTCTGTGCGCATATTGTCAACTGTTTGTATTAAGCACATTGTAATATGTTTATCAACGGATCAAAAATATTTAAAAACAAAACTGATGGGGACCTACTGATTACAGATAAAATATATGGATTTTTATATCTTTTAATTAACGCTATATATATTTTTTCAGGAATTTCATTCAATTTTACATTTACACAAGGACTGGGCATGCATTTTCTTGTAATTGACTTTTTTATGTTTTTAATCCTAACATCCCATACTTTAAATAACTGCAAAACCAACTGGGTTACGGTGGATAAAAGAATCCGTCTATGTATAAATATGGGTATTGCCTAATTTCATAATTTCCATTCGTTAGTTTGTATTCTTTAGTCCTTTTAGGCGGACGACATTTACTTAACTTATTTATTCAGAGACACCATGTGTATGAAGGGTGTAATATTTGTCTGCAATTGCTTGAAACTTGATACCGGCATTTAGTTTGGAGTAAAGGACAAGATAGGGAGAGACCAGGTTTGTCCCCCGATTTTTGGTGTCTTTCAGAATGATCCAACAGTTTAACCATGAAAACCTGTTTTCACCCCTGCCACAAAATGAGTGTTGGTTTTAAGATTTAAAATATATAGGGGTCACAGTGAGTTCAGGAAATAGGTCAATTTTCGAAATTTCTCATTTTAATGCAAATTTTCATTAATTTTACAGCACATTTTCTTTCGGAAAACATAGAGCACACGCTTGCCTATCTACCATATATATATATATATATATATATATATATATATATATTATACACTGATATCAGATGCAGTATATGTGATTTGTAAAAATCTCAGATAGGCAAGCTTGTGCTCTATGTTTTCCGAAGAGAAATGTATCCCAAATGTGATGAAATTCCACCAGAATTGAGGAAATTCGGGAAAATGATCTATTTCTGCACCCTCAAGTGGCTTCCATGTAAGCTTCGGATCAAAATTAGTGCTTGTCCTAAAGTTAGCATTATTTTTATTTCTTAACAACAAACTATCACAATTTTACCAGTGTTCTGATTTTTATATCAAATAAGGGGCCAGATTCGGCTGTGATCCTATCTTGTCCTTAATCACCCATTCAATGTAAGTAAATCTTTTATAAATCAAAGCTAATGATCATTAAATCAAAAGATAATGGAAGATATCAATTATTTTCCAAAGTTAAACATGTCAAATGGGAATTAATGTGCTAAAAAGAAAGGTCTTAAGTTGATAAAGTTAAGATTCATATTGTAAAGTAAGAACAAGTCATGTTTATAAATAATTCATGTAGATCCTTGAATCTGGGTTTAAATTCTGATAATTTAGAATTTATAAATCCATTATGGTCATCGTATATTACTCTACATCCTAATGGATGGAATGCAGTGTTATCATTAAGTTCATACACTGGTATGTTACTCTCTTAATTTAAAGTACCAGACTGACATACATGGCAATATTGTTTTTGTTAAATTATTATTATCAGACCATAGACAAAGCACACCAAGACACGGTAATTCCTTCTAAATCTTAATACAATTTTCACCTTAGCTTTCCAATTTATAATATAACTGAATATCTTTCTATTAAACCTAAATAATTAAATACATTGGTCTGTTATGTTCAATTTAGTATTGGGTCAAAAATTAGATCACATCCTCTCGATTAATAGGTAATGCGATCAATGTTAAGAAGTCATCATTGATAAAAATAGTGACATTGATAAGTCATTGATTGTCATCAATAGACTACAGATTAATACACTCATAATACAAACCGAAAGTTTAATTATGGTAAGGACTTTATATTTCTTTAAATAAATATTTAGTTTGCATAGTCATTTTTCAAGGAAAAAAATGTACGTGGTGTTACAAAATATTTATTAAGTTTGTATACATATTATCACATTTCAATATTAAGCACATCGATCTGTTTATATACAGATCATATAGAATTGAAAAGAAACTGAGTGAATACTTCTGTTTACAGATGGATATAAACATGAAGATAACGAAATGTATTCAATCAGGTGCAATAAAGCAGTGAGCATCCCCTGTCGACCGGTCTCACTCGCCGTGTGCTCCTTGTTTTGATTGGGAGATAATGCAAAATCCGTCGACAATTCAATAGAAATCCGTCGACAATTCAATCATTAAATAATTGTTTAACAATTAGTATGAAAAATGTCAGTCAGCAATTGACTGAAGGACAATTTGCATTTGATGACAAAGTAATTGTATCGACCACAGAACTTAAATGCTGACTTTAAAAAGCTGCAGATATTCTTGTTTGAACAATGTTTTGTCAATGTCATTTCAAAAATTGATACACATCAATTTTATGCCTGATATATACATTTTCTTTTATGCAGGATGTTTAAATCAAACAGACTCCTTCTATACTGAATTTTTTTAACATTATATCCAAAACTAAGATATCGATCTGCTACGTCTTACTACTGTATTTATGTCATAGAATGGTATAAAAAAAATTAGATGCGAATGTACTTGTAATTTTACTTCTTCATTAGAAAGTAATTATACCATTTTAAAAAAAGGCTTTGGTATGTATACACTTTCTGAAACAATGTTTAGTGTATATTGCAAAATACTTGTACATGTATATGTATTCTGATTCATTTTCAAAGGTATTTGGACGAACATGATCATGATGATAAGTTGGTCTTCGATCATCGATCGTGCCTGAAAGAATCATGCAAATACGTAATTACATAGTCAATAAATGCAAGCACTCTTAATACATCTTGCTATAATTCACAAAGAAATGACATAAATTTCTTTACGTTTCAGATACACGTACTTTCTGCCTGATTCTTTTATAATAATATATCATGATGGATCACCTACATCGGCTATCAGAGGCTGTGTATGTAGGACTGTGTCGTGAAGTAGGGAGTCCTACAGAAGTGAGGATCAGGAGAGAAGTGATGGACACTGTCGAGATGGTGAATAGACCTGTGTATATCATGAGAGGATTTGATAGAATGCAGAGTGGGAGTAGACGTGAGGGATTCAGGCTGATAACGTCAGATGTAGATTGGATGTTTTGGTATCCAGACCACAAAGTGATATGTGATCTCTCTCAGATCAGCCTTTACCGTATTCCACAACACACTGTAATCCTGATGGAGGGTGATGATCTACCAACAGGATTTACTAGATTAAATCTGATGACTCCATCAAATGATGCAAAAGTAAGTTCCTCCTGTGTAATAAGGAATAACAATGTATTCATTTCAAGTGCATTATTCAGAGATTATCATTTGGATTTCGAAAGGACATGCAATGTTCCTTTACCCAATGTTTTCTCTCATGGGCCTTGTTCTACCCATTCCATATTGCACGAATTAGAGGCTGACAATGCATTCTGTTTCCAGTCACATTACTGGCCTACGTCAGCACTACCATGGATACAGAGATGTTGCAAAAAGGGCTGGCCAAACCTGAATGTTATTTCGGATATATTAAGTGGAGGATTTCATGTTGTTCCTATTGGAAGCGCACCTGAAAATGAACTTGAATGGAGAATCTCATTCTCTAGAGGAGAACAAACACTCGTTTATTCAATGAATCACTGTCAGTTTATGTGTTATGGTCTCTTCAAATTATTTTTGAAGGAGGTAATTAATTGTCAAACAAATACACCTACTCTCTGCTCATACTTCATAAAAACCATTGTGTTTTGGGTCATACAGACCAATACTTCCTTGTCTTGGACACCTGATAACTTACTGTCTTGTTTCTGGGAAAGCTTTAAATTATTGATATACATGGTATATAAAGGGGAATGTCCAAACTTTTTTATTCCACAAAACAACATGTTTCGACAGAAAGTCACTGGTTCTGTACAAACCTCATTGTTCAGTCAAATGTATGATTTGTATTGTAAGGGGATATCATGTCTACTTTTAAGTCAAACTATGAGACCATACATCAGAATTTCTATATTGAACAGAACATTGAGATTCTGTACAGACGAGAGCAGAATTATATCTAAGACAAAGTTAGATATTTGCTTATTTAGTGAATTATCAATGTCTCATCATTCAATTCAGAGCTTTGATGAATTTGCAGTTTGTATTACACAAATGGAGAGAATGATTAGGGGAGGGTTGACATCGTATCAGCCAGTCATTATACAATATATCACATCAAATGTTCTAAGGAATACTGCCATATACGTACAGAGATGTATATATAAAAATGGAACTCGCAATAAGGTTTACTATAAAGCAAAAGTAGATACATTGCTTAGACTGTCGCTTAAGTTTGGCTTTTTATCTGACATTCTGTATCTTTCTATGCACTTCTACAGAACACGTAGATATGAAGATTCACTTAGTTGTTTACATAAAACACAGGAGAGGATGTCATTTCCGTATGTTATATATAAGGATCATGTTAACGTAGATGTGTACAGACATTGCATGGAAAGGAAGACCCTAGGTACTAAGATGAGGAGAGCTGTTGTGGGAGATATTGATATTTATTGTATCTACAGTTACCTTGATGAACTAATGTTTGAACAGGAGATCAGTAATAATAATGGTATTGCTATATTACATATCCCGATTCTAATGATGCTGCATACGCTGTTTATACTGAATCACCACAGACTGGGTGACACTGTCAGGTCACAACAATCTCTACAGGATCTACACACTCTGCTGCTCTATGATGACGGGATTTATGTACCTCACCTCTACAGAGATATTTCGTGGCAAATACTTGGAATCTGTCAACAAATCTGTGGAGACTATTCGGGATCTCTCCAATCTTTTCGATATTCCTCACAGCAAATACCTCTCCACAAGCTTCAGGAAGCAACAAAGTTTAGAATTAGCAGTCTCCCAATTGTAGCCGTCTGAGTTTATGAATAAGTGTATTTGTTAACACATCATTTTAATTCATTGTATGACACATATTTATGATTTATGTACCCTGTTTTCCATAGGGTTTAATTTTAATGTATGCAAGGCCGTGCATGTTTTATAATTTTACAAGTGATATAAAACGTATTCCTTTTAGATAGTACACTTAATTACTGTTTTTAATTGTATTGACATTGATATTTGTAAGAATCTATTCAATATAAGTATCATCAGTTAAACTTCTCTATAACTAAATTTTTTTCTTCTATTTAACAAAAATTGTTTGATTTATATCAAATACTAAGATATTATTAAAGGACAAGATTTAATGTTTTGTTAGTCAGTATTAAATGTAAATAATTAAACCAAATAGAAATAATTAAAAAAAAAATTAATAATGCCGAGTAAGAGTAGTAATGAATTAACTATAACTGTGCATTGGACTTTTCCCCGATTTCTTTCTCAAATTCAGATGTAAAATGAAATAAAAAATCTTCATTAAGTCCTACATTTTATTGTGATGCATTTGATGGGCATGAATTAAATCAATTTTAAATTTCAAATTATATTTCATTATAAGAAATGGTATATCTTTATTTTGTTCACATCATTTTTAGAAATGAAGACATATTTTTTTTTGTAAGAAGCACACGTTCTTTACGTTTCACTCACCATCTGTTAAAAAAATAAATCAAGGCATAAACTGCCCACTTTGGTTGACATTTTGAGGTCGTTGTTAATGTTTTTATTCAATTGTTTCTCTTTTCGTTTTTTACACATACCGTTGAAACTGCATTTTCGTTAACAACTCTTTAGAGTAGAAAAATAAAATCAATGTTCACTCATACATGCTGTGTTTTCATCACTATGTACATGTAATATGTGAGACTTCGAGATTTTTGGAAAAAAAAATCCTAAAATTGATTTCAATAACAATTTTTCTGATGAGATATACAACTGGCTCCGGTATTTACAATAATTGTTATCAATGTCATTTCATGTATTTGTTGATACTGAATTGAGAGATGCTGAGATTATGTAATATTAAGAATAGTTTGCGTTTATAAAGATTATACATTCTGCATAGGCAATATATATAGAATTTGAATAAAAGATAAATTAAATGACGGCCAATATACATCGAAGGAGGTTATTCAAAAACTGACGTGTCTTTTTTCAGTACGAATGGTGCAAAAAATCCCAACGGATCAAAAACACTACTTATCATGGAAAAGATTCCTCTTCATGTAGTGGTTTCTTATTGACTTCTATGTTGAAACAGACCACATCTGATTCCACATACCACTGAACTCCTAAGGTTCTTTCAATCGGTAGTGCATCATAATCCAAGACTTCTTTTGCTTGCTCTGAGATTGGAATTGTCATCATGACATCTCTGTTGTTGCTTATCCACTTTGAAATGTGAAACCCTACTCGAGTAAGAAGTCTTTGTACATCCTTGATTAAGTCGATAGCATAATCAACAGTCTTGACGGTCATCAACATAAAAGTTTTTAAACACGGTGTTGGTGATCTCAGAATCAAAGAGTTCTTCAGAATCTCTAGCTGTTTTTCTAAGAGCGTAATTAGCACAACTAGGAGATGAAGAAGGGCCAAACAAGAGTACTACCATCTGATACTCTACGCTCTTCTTAATCGCGTCTTCATCTTCAAACCATAGAAATCTAAGGAAGCTTGCATCTTGTTTTGATATATTGTTAACTTGAACTTGTTAAAACATACTGTCTATGTCTCCCATCACTGTTATCTGCTCTGAATCTCAGTAGTGTACCCACAAGTGAACTGGTTAATTTTGGTCCAGGTAAAAGTTGATCATTTAATGATGGGCCTTTAAATCTAGCCGCACAATCAAACACCACTCTCAACGTTTTCTTCTTTGGATTATACACTCCATGATGCGGCAAGTACAAAACCTTGCCTTCCACTTGCTCCGTGTCTTCAGTTGGAACTTTGACAACATATTCTTTGTTCATAATCTTGTTAAAAAACTCACAATATTCTCCGTAAAAGTTTTCATCACGATTGAATAGTTTTACAAGAGGCGATAACCGTTGTTCGGCTTGCTTCTTGTTGTTTGGTTATCTGACATCATAAGACTTAATGGAAGTCCAATTTGATTATGTCCGTCGTCAATACAAATAGACTTCGATGCAAGATCTCCCACCTGTTATATTTGAAAAGTATCCTGATCAACATTTGAATAGTTATGTTCTTCACTTATAAGAGTGATCTATAACACAAGATATTATACAAATATGGACTCATTGCACGGTCAATATGCATTTATAATCCCAGGGTGACAGATATTGACCGAAGATGCATGGAGTATATCGACCGAGGGCGCTAGCCCGAGGTCGATATACTCCTTGTATCTAAGATGAATATCTGTCACCCTGGGTCATTATAAATACATATTGACCGTGCAATGAGTCCATATTTATTATATTATATAAATAATATTTTCCCAAATTTATTAATACAATGTATATCTTCCTAATGTTTACAGAGATAGTATTAACCATAAATAAGTTGAATGTAAATGTTTAAGAATTTATTCAATGTTACTCAGAGGAACCTGTTTCGGTTATAAATTTTAACCCATACAGGTCCAGTCCAAAGACTATTTCTACCTACGTAACTATTAATAGCTATCTAGGTATTTCAATCTATACCCAAAGTAGCTATCTTTACCTACTTTCTGCTTTACTTACATTTTGTTGCCAAATGCAGAAACGGCGCAACATGGTGAGCACAAAATTTCTTGATACAGTCACACTGATGATGGATATGACAAAAATTTGGCCAAAAAATGATTACTTCGTATATTATCTATTTTGCATAGAATCTAATGTGAAATTGCCGATTCAGGAAGTTATCATTTTTTGGCCATAATTTTGTGGTATTCATCATTAGTGTGACCGTATCAAAAAATATAGTATTCACCATGTTGCGCCGTTTGGTCTTTTGACCGCAAAATGCAGAAAATATAAAAAGTAGATAAAAATAGCTATTTTGGGTAGCTTTAAATACCTAGGTAGCTATTAATATGCCATAGCATAATAATAACGCAAGATATCTATTTCCGAATAACACCGAGTACCCCCACCCCCAGATTGAGAATCGCACTTGTTTACACTTGCAGAGAAAATTACATGCACTGACAAAATATAAATACCTATGTTCATACATGGTACGCTCGTCTTTATTTTCTTTAGTCTCCATAATCGCGGAAACAGCGTCAAAACTCTGCTCGCCGAGTGGAAAAGTCGAATTCAACCATGAATAGGTATGTGCTAAGTATTCCCGCAAAATGTTCACAGATATCCTTGTAATAGTTTTGTACTCTCAGCCTTAGAGTTCTTCACTATATCTTTTAAATTTTCCTCACGTACAACTTGCAAACTTGAGAACTCCCATGTTTGTCTAAAGCAAAAGTGAAAACGAGGCAGCCCGTGCGAGTCATTATTCGCTTTCAGCAGTCGTTATAAAAAATAATTACTTCGTATTGCTAATCAGATTACCGGATTTAACAATGTAATATAATATATTAAAATATCCTACTTTATATAATATATCTGACCGTTTCTGATGAGATAAGGAGATAAAGAACAGACCTCTCAGGGACTAAGATCCAATGTAGACCGCCCACAACCGCCAGGAGTTCCTATCAGGAACGGGTTAAAAACCTGTAAACATTTCAGAGTGTTTCATATATAACATTACAATTTGTATTTCAAATATCAACCATCTTTCTGTCGAATCACAATGATGTGAAACATATTGATTTGATGGATGACGACTCACAAAATATGAAAATATCCGAGTTCAATATTGATATATAGGTTTTGCCTATCATATAACAAACCGTATTCCTTTGAAGTATACTGACATTTGGTTTCGTTAATGTACTCAGATTACGCAAACGGACGTCTAAAGTTTTGGTATAGTCCTAATTTCATTTTTGTTTTTCTTCAATGCTTACAATTAATTTTGAAATTGCATCCCTTTATATTACTCTCTGTCTTTGGTGACGTGAAATACTTGACAACTGACTGATTGGCATACTGTATATATGCTAAAGTTCTATTCTATATGTAAAATTATTAGACCGATTGAATACGCAAGTTTCGAGATTATCTCCCTTGGTGCGCTCTTTCCTTGAGGAGGGGAGTTTGGACAGGTGGGACAGATATTTATTATTGGATATATCGCATCATCGATATACTTGTTTATCGTAACTATATAATCGTAAGTATGCACTGTTCAACTGAAGAACAACAGAATTAAAGTAAAGATGTCATTTTTAAAGCAAAAAATTCGGAACAAAAAGAAAATTCAGTGGATGTGAGACTTTTCAGACGAAGGAAGAGATATATGGACCTCTAATAAATACGGTAAACATGAAACATGATCATTACATGTCGGCAATCTAAATGACACATTGATTTTTTACCTTATCATAACTTTAAAAAAATCCACTAACTTTTTAGAGAATATATGTACAATCAAGAAAATCTTTTACTTTTATAAGGACCACGACGTTTATTTCATTTTTAAGTACCCTATAATTGAAAGTAGATTTATAAATAAACACAGTTGAGCTTGATAAAATCATAAAATGCATCACTGATTAACATCTTAATCTTTCTATAACATTAAATAAATTTTAAAAGCCATAGACATCGTTCATTTATTTATGCACGTTTGTATACATAAGCAAACTGTCCCACCTCCATGCTGAAATGGGTACTTGTTGCGCCTTTATGGCAGGAGAGTTACAATCTCGAAACTGGCGTATTAAGATCAAGTGAAATGTATCCAACAAATTTCATAATAAACGCAAGTCTCCGATTACTCTCAACACGGAAATTAACAAATTATTTATAAAATCAAGCGTGATGTGAAGAAAAATAAAACAAATCAAAGTACTGAACGCACTCATGGGAGTTGAACATGGTGTATAACAAAATCTTTGA